CCCCCCCCCCCGGCTCCCGTCCCATGGCGGATCCGAGTTGCGGGACCACGCTGGCAGCAGGGGAACGGCGGAAGGCCGCGTGTGTTTCCACAACTACCCTTCCTCGGGCCGGAGCAGGAAGGCCTCTTTTCAGAGGCCCCCCAGGCGCGATCTTCCGCTTTTGGCTGACATCACCCCATCTATCCCCTTTCATCTCTCCCCTTCCCTCCCCTGCAATTTCCCCCTCCACCGCCCCTCCCCTCTCTCTCCTCCCCCCCCCCATACACACACACACACCCCCGCTGTCCGCTCGACCAGTCGCGAACGCCATGCCCCCTAAGCCCAGCCTTCAGAAGGGGAAGCCCGCTGCGGCGGGGCAGGTTTTCCGCCCCTCCCCTCTGTCAGGAATCCTGAACAAGCGGACCCGGCCGGCCGGGGGCGCGGCGCCCCCTGCTCAGGCCCCTCCGAAAAGGCAGAAGGCCCACGCCAGCGCCGGGAAGGGCGGCCGTGCGCCCCCTCCCACTGTTGCGTCCAGCGATAGCGATGACAGCGACTTCGATGAGGATGATATGCCCCTGGATCCGGAGGACCAGTCAACCGATGTCGATGTGCTTGACTTCTCCACCACGTCCAGCACCGAGGAGGACGACGACGCGTACGCCCGGGCACCCATCTGCTCCCCCAGTCCCCGCCCCCCTTGGAACCCGCGCTGACTCTCCACTCTGCTGATGCCTCTCTTCTTCCCCCCCCTCCCCCCTCCCCCCTCCCCCCTGCTGCCGCACCAACCAATCACAGGATCCGCTCTGCCCTTTTGAAGTTCATGGCGAAGGCCGGCATGAAGCCCGACACGGGCGCCCTCTCTCCGCAGGAAGATGACGACGATGATGGTGCCTCCAGCGGGGATGGCCTTGGTGATGACGATGACGAGGCTGCCTCCCCCGCCGGCACTGACGATGATGACGATGATGATGATGCGGAGGAGGAGGAGCAGAGCGACGATGACGACGACGACGATACCGGCGCTCGCCTTCTCAATGACCCGGCCCTGAAGGGAATGGGCGACCTGTCGGAGCTACTGACCGGCAACTATGCGTCGGACTCGGATGACGACGGGTCCGACGCCGAAGGCGCCGAGGAGGTGGCCCCGCCCATTGTCGACTCGGATGACGACGACTCGGACGATGGCAGCGACATCGACTACAGCGCATACATGCTGTCGGACGAGGAGGACTCCGATGCCGAGGACGAGGCACGCGCGAAGAAGCCCGCCAAGAAGCCCGCCAAAAAGCCGACCGTCGACTCGGACTCCGACTCGGACTCCGACTCCGACATGGACATGGACATGGACTCCGATGATGAGGACGGGGAGGACGATGAGGACAGCGCCGAGGACGAGGAGCTCACCCTGGAGGATGTTCTGGCCGGCAAGACCGCTGGCCGTGGGGCCCAGCCCCCGAAGAAGGCCAAGCGCCAGACGCAGGTGGTCCTGACGCATGCCATCCTCCTGGAGTGGGAGGCGGTCCTGTCGCGGCCGGGCGAGGGGGTCGGTCTGGCCAGCAACTTCCGCAAGCTGCTGCAGGCCTTCAAGTCGGTGTGCAACCGTGCTGACGCCCTGGAGGCGGACCTGTCCTCCGGCGACGGCAAGAAGAAGCCCAAGCCCAACGAGCCGTATGTCATCAACAGCTCGGCCGGTACGTGTCGCCCTTCCCCCCGCCCCCTCCTCTTTCTCTTCCGGCCACTGTGCTCCCCTTTCCCTCCTCCCCTTCGCCCTGGTAACACCCCTCGCCGTACCTCTCTTCTCTGCCGCCCCCCCCCCCCCCTCCCCCCCGCTCGGGGGCAGTCTTCAACAAGGTCATCATCATGACCCTCAAGTACTCGGCCCCGGCGCTGGACCAGCTGCTGGGCCTGGCCCCCGGCCCGGCGCCGGCGCCGGCCGCCAACGAGATGGACGAGCTGGCCGGCGCGCCGCCGGCGCCTACGGCCGACAAGGCCGTCCCTCCGCGGGCCCCGCACACCAGCCCCCGGTGGGGCACGCATCGTCTGCTTGTCAAGGCCCTGGTCACCAACATGGCCAAGCTGCTGAGCCAGATTTCCGACGTGCGCCTCCGGTCGTACATCCTGTCGGCGGCCCGGTCCTTGGTGCCCTTCATGGCCACCTTCGGGGCGGTCATCCGCCGGCTGGTGCGCCTGCTGCTGGACCTGTGGGGCGGCTCCGAGGAGACGGTCCGCATCTCGGCCTTCCTGCTGCTGATGCGGCTCACCCGCGAGGACATGCCGGAGGCCGTGGGGCTGTCCGTTCGCCGAGGCCTGTACATGACCTTCGTCAAGAATGCGCGCTTCGTCACGGTGCGCAATCTGTCGCATCACAACTTCCTGATCAACTGCCTGGTCGAGGCGTACGGGGCCGACCCGATCGCCGCCTACCCGCAGATGTTCATCTACATCCGGCAGATGGCCATCCACCTGCGCAGTGCCCTGAATGCCCTGTCCACCGGTGGTGGCGCCGGCGCCAAGGGCAGCGGCAAGAAGAATGCCCCGGCCCATCGGTCCCTTTACAACTGGCAGTTCCTGTCCTGCCTGCAAGCGTGGGCTCGCATCCTCGGGGCCATTTGCCATCATGAGCGTCCGCTTGCCGGCCAGGAGGGCCTCAAGGTCCTCCGGCCGTTGATCTTCCCCCTGGTGCAGGTGTGCATGGGCGCCATTCGCCTGCGCATGGCGGCCCGGTATCACCCCCTGCGACTGCACATTGTCCGCCTGCTGGTGGAGCTGTCCCAGGACACTCGGGTCTTTGTGCCGGCCCATGCGGCCCTGCTGGACATCATCTCCCGGCTGAAGCCGACCAGTGCCTCGGGCGCGTCGCAGTCCAACCAGACCGCCCGCAAGCTGGACCTGGTGGCCGCCGTGCGTGTGCCCCGGTCCATGTCCACCAGCCCGGCCTTCCTGGACAAGGTGCTGGAGACCAGTGCCGACCTCCTGCTCGATTGGTTTGGCGGCCTCATGTGGAACCATGTTTCCTTCCCGGAGCTGGCCACCCTGGTGACTGTGCATTTGCGCAAGTTTGTCAAGCTCAATGGCGGGCACTTCCGGTCGGCGCGCATGATCCGTGATCTCATCGCCCAGGTGCGCCTTTGTCCCCCTTTTGTGGCCATGCCTGCCCTCTTTCTCTTTTCTCCTTTTTTTTTTTCCTCCCCTGCTCCTCAGTCTCCCTCTTCTCCGGTTGTGGTGCGAAGGCGGGGAGAATGCTCTCTGCTGAACCTCACTATTGACTCGAATGTGCACACTCCCTTCCTCCTCTTCTCCTTGCTTTCTCCTCCTGCTCTCTCCTCCTGCTCTCTCTTCCTGCTCTCTCCTCCTGCCCTCTTCTCCTGCCCTCTTCTCCTTGCTCTCTCCTCCTGCTCTCTCCTCCTGCTCTCT